GGGGAGAAAGGGTTACACAAGAGATATGGAGGATCGAATTGGTGAAATTACAGAAATACCCCTGATTACCTATTTATTGATATTCATCTTATTGGACCTTTTCTACCCTCGGCCCATTGTTATGGACTTTTTGGGCCTCGGCCCGAATAAATGGTTTTTAAATGGGCTTTTTTTTTTATGAAATAATTTTCACTGGCCTAGTTGGTGAAATATTAGAACGTCGTGTCGGTTGACCTGAGTTCGAATTCTTTTTTTTTAATACTTTGTAGGATGAGTTCGTTCGTCACACTTGCCTAGTATGATTTCCATTTTCTCGAATTGTTTGCTACTTTTTGAAGCATTTTTTGAAATTAAATCGGTCGGAAATGCCATGGTATTTAAAATGCAATACCATTACAATACAGTACGGTGCCGATATCGCATCGAATAAAATTGTAACCACTGCTTTGATATATTTTCGATAATATTCGTTTAGAATACCATGATACTCGGTATTTGATAATTTTGTCCACATCACAATCGCTCACATTTCTCATCGAAATAACTTGATAATAATTGTAATTTCTCATTTTAAAATTATACCCCTCCAACAAATACAAAATAAGTACACCTAATTTTAGAAATAAGCAATAATCCCAAACTTAACGCACGAGCAACAACTTATCGATTAAAGTTTAATGTAGTAAATATCTAAGTCTCTCTCGTATTGAATTTTGATGAAAGATCGCAGTTTTAAATCTCCTTGTGAGTGTGTGTTGCAAGGCCATGTTATTAAAAAACTCGTAATCAACAACATATTTCGTTCAAAAGTTTTTCCAAACGCCACCTTATAAATCAACTAACTAAAAATGATTTTTCAGAACATTTGCAAACATGTGAAGCTTTTAGAAATAAACGATTATTTAAACCTTATTCGTAATCACAACTTATATTTTTCAAAAGCATTTGCAAATACCGTTATAAAAATCTCAAATCTATTTCCAAAAGTATGTTTTTCCGACGCACATGATAATTGATCATCGATGCAAAACAAATTACAATGAAAAATCAAAAAATAAATTCCATTTTTTTCGTTTTAACTAACAAAATTGACAAAAAAATAATATGGACACGGTTTATATATAAACCATAATCATGTTTTAAGTGGTGCTAATTTCAACCAGGGGCATAATTGGAAGCAAGAAAAATAAGAATAAATAATTATAAATAAGCCCCACAGCTGTTTTTTGTTGTGCAGTCTTAATCCAGCCATTGTAAAATTTTGCATTATGCTAAATATATGATTTTATAATGTAATAGGCATGTGGGCATTTTGGTAAAAATCAAAGATTACTTATAATTGACCCAAGAAAGAGGAACATGGTTTGTTGGATTTAAATATATTTAATCAACCATCCTTATTAGGTGTATCTTATTTTGTATTATATATAATACCACCACTTTGTTTTTTGTATCTATATATTGAGATTGCAATACATATTTTGCCAAGTGTGTGTGTTTGTGTGAGAGAGGAGAGAGAGACACCATAAGAGTAGAAGTTAAAAGGTTACACTTACCTCCCCCAAAGTTAGATCAAATTAAACTTAACCACCCTCGAATTTAGAAACTTCCACACACACCCCCTAAAATTTGTCATAATTTTACCGTCTTGTAATTTAGGACAAATTACGGTCACATCCTGAGGTAATGTCAAATTACAAAACGTCCATCATGTTTTGGTAATTACAAACACCCCTCAACTATGTATAGTGTTACACACTCATCCTAATTATGATATCAAATTTACCTATTGCAATAGAGATTTTCTCGTAAGAAAATACGTAATTGAAGGAGTATTGTAATTACTCAAACATGAAGGAAGTTTCATAATTTGACCTTACTTCATGGGTGGCCGTAATTTGCCCTGTAATTTATTTTTACAGACACAAGGGGAACCATAGTAAAATCACAAAGTCGATCGGATGACCATCTTTTTAACCAATAACTTGTATAATCAATTTTTTTTAATAGTGACCAGTTTGATTGAGACTCTTCATTTTTGTTTTGCACAAACAATTGAATTTCGATTTTATTTTTCGATAAAAAAGTACATTAAGATTCTTATTTTTATTTAAATAAACGGAACGGCTAAAACAAATATCGTTTCTTTCTCACTTCAATACCACCAACATAAAAAATAGAAAATAAATAGGTGATGACATTAATACCCTTAATAAAATCAATACCACACAAATTTTGTGTGTGATATTGATTTTCATTCAGAGTAATAATGTCACTACCTATTTATTTTTTATTTTTTATGTTGGTGGTATTGAAGTGAGGAAAAAAACGTATTTGTTTTAGCCCCAACCTTAAATAAAACTTAAAAGGGTAAAAACGACAATTTAAACAAATATTTGGTTCAAGGTGAAAATGGAATTACACTATTACGGTCCAACCTTTTCATGTCAATGCCCATATGGGGTAAATTAATGCCCAGGACTAAACTTCAAGGGAGGTATATATAATGTTTTATATTAGAAGGGATCTAGGTGTAGTTTAACCTAATTTCAAGGAAGTATACGTAATTTACCCAAACTAGTCGAAGCTAAATTGAAGCCGAAGCCGAAGCCGAAGCCGCGTCTTATAATCTGTCGGTGGTCCATCGCACTTCCCCTGGACCTTGCCTGCAAGTATTAGCTAAGCCTTCTCTCACACACAGTCCCCTCTCTCTTTCTCTCTCACACACACATTACACACACAATTACTTACACACACTCTCTCTCTGTACAAGTGCAACGCCTTTTATCTTCCTCGCTTGTGAGCTACGAAACCTTATAATTTTTGCATTTCAGAGAGAGAGAGAAGAAGAAGCACCAGACAGACAGACAGACGACCTTCTCTCCAATTTCTCTCTCTCTCTCTAGAATTAATTGCATCTCTCTCTCTCTCTCTAGAATTAATTGCAGCTGCATCACTCATGCCGAAGGAGATTTTGATGTCATCTTCAACAATCTAACACTAAGGTTTTTCCCCCAATTTCTCTCATTTCTGCTTAGATCTCGCCTCTTTCATCACTAGCCTAGTTACATTCGTGCTTTGTTTTTCTTATTTGGTTGAATTCGTCAAGTTGTTTATTTTTCCTTCCCTTTTACACCTTGATCTAGTAACTTCCTGGAAGAAATTGCTTCTTCATTGGATTCGATTTTTTTAATTGATTTGAATCTTATGAAATCACAGTGCCCCCAGCTCAATGCAGTGTCATTAATTCAGTCAATTTGCGATTTAGTTAGTGCTTATTACTGTGAGGCATTTCGATTTCAGTTTTAAGAGTGTATATAGCTAGTATAATTTTATTAGTTTATTGGAGTTGCTTTTAAATGTGGTTGACTTGTCAGTTGAAACAGGACTCTGCTGTTTAATTGTGGCTGTGATTCGAGAGAGTCAGATCTGAAGTGAAGATCTCGGGATCAGAGCGAATATGGCGACGACAATGGCTTGGAGGGTTCCTACTTCCAACGGCAGCGGCCTTCCCCATAACGACTTGGTAAGATTTGTCTTTAATTGAGAGTTATTACATTATTTACTGTTAGTTCGATTCTTGGAATATGCTGAACTTCCATGATCTGAAGTCAAGAATTAGTTTTTGATTGTTCTTGATTGTCGAAGTTATGGTCGGATCTTATGCGTGAGCTGTAGTACTTACTTGTGACGAGTGTTCCTAACTTTTGCTTTTGTCGTTGCTAGTTGTTTTAGCTAACAATAATGTGGAGTCGAGAAGGGTTCTTGCCAGTGTACTTGAGGAAAAGGGATCTCGTTAGATTTTTCGTATTAAGTTGCAGCAGTATATAATTTGTTGATTGTTGTTTGTACATGCAATACGAGCTGATATTGAAAGTACGATTAATCACGCTGAAGTCGGATAGCTATTTCACATTTTCCTGAAATTACTTCTTGAAACCATTGAAAACAGAGGGAATTTGCTTCTCAATTTTTTCCTGGTTTTATATTTCATCCAAAGAGATCGTAAGATACAGATTGACCTGTGCGATATTTTGAAATTTATATAATTCTGCCACTTAATTTACTGCTATCTTCAGTGACAATCTTTGCTAGATTGCTATAATTCCCAGAATTTGAATAGTTATGTGATCATATTCCATTTATATTTGTGCATCTCGATAAGTTTATGCATTTTTTTTTCCTTATGCAGGAGAGAAGCGGGGAAGGTAAACCTCATGATTCAGAGCCTCCAACTCCCCATGCCCTCACGAAACTGAATTCAAGGTTGGTTATGAATTATGATACGCGGTTTCATTATGCACATAATTTACTGGTTCATGCTCCTGATATGAAAGAAACTTGAAAAAAATTATCAACCCGGAAGACTTAGGCAATGTTTGTTAAGCTTTTCAAAAAAAAAAAAGGGGAATTTTTTTCAAACGATTCTATCCTTCAAACATGATTTGATAGCTTCTATAAAAAATGTCACTAAAATACAAACAAAAATCAGTTTATTTTTCTATTCTTCTTCAATACCCTTGTTCGAACACCTTCAAAATACAAAAAAAAAAAAACATTATATTTTTCAAAATTTTCTCCCAAAACATCTTTCCCTAGAATGAAATGGAAATATAGCCCCAAATGTGAATCTAACATTGGCTTAATGTTAATAATCTTCTTAAACCTATACTATATGCATATCAAATGGTGATAATGTGTGTTTTAGTTATATCTAAATTCATTAAATATAAATGAGAACAAATGGCATATGGTAATTCATATATTCTTCCTTGAAAATAAATCACGGTACTTTCTAACATCAGATCCTTCATGTTTTAAGAACTTTAATCGAGTTTGAAAACTGCTGTTCATCAACTGAGATTGGTTAATTGATAGTCGTAACACTAAAACAAACAATCATTGAGTTTGATGCACTATTTTATTTTTTTTCTTCTGTTTTCTGGTAATTTCGATTTCTAATATTAATGGTATCATAGACATCATAATAGTGCTATTTTCTGTTTTTGATATAGCTTCTAATTTGCACAGGCTTTACACTATGCATTTGTTTATTTTTTATCCGATATATTTCGCAAGTTTATGTCGGGTTTTGTCTGGATGACAATCATGGTAACTCTTTACCTGCAGAGATAGGAGTAGCATGGAGGACCCTGATGGAACATTAGCAAGTGTCGCCCAATGCATTGAGCAGTTGCGTCAGAGCTCATCGTCGTCGCAAGAAAAAGAGAATTCCTTGAGGCAGTTGCTCGACCTAATTAATACACGGGAAAATGCTTTCGGTGCTGTTGGATCCCATTCTCAAGCAGTTCCAGTACTCGTGTCTCTTCTTCGGTCTGGATCAATAGGGATAAAGATACAGGCCGCTACTGTTTTATGTTCTCTTTGCAAAGAGAATGAATTGCGGGTGAAAGTGTTACTTGGAGGCTGTATTCCTCCACTACTTGGTCTTCTTAAATCAAACACGGGTGAAGGCCAAATTGCTGCAGCAAAGACAATATTCGCTGTTTCTCAAGGTGGTGCTAGGGATCATGTCGGCTCAAAAATTTTCTCGACAGAAGGAGTTGTCCCCGTGTTATGGCAACAACTAGAGAAGGGGCTTAAGGCTGGAAATGTCGTTGATGACTTGCTAACGGGAGCTTTGCGGAATCTTTCTAGCAGCACCGAGGGATTTTGGTCTGCAACAATTAAAGCTGGAGGAGTCGACACACTTGTGAAATTGCTTACAGCAGGCCAATCAAATACTCAAGCGAATGTATGCTTTCTCCTTGCATGCATGATGATGGAGGATGCATCTGTTTGTACGAAAGTCTTGGATGCAGAAGCCACTAAATTGCTCCTTAAGCTACTTGGACCTGGCAATGAAGCTTCTGTAAGAGCAGAAGCGGCAGCAGCCCTTAAATCTCTTTCGGCACAGTGCAAAGAAGCTAGGAAAGAGATTGCTAATGCCAATGGTATTCCTGTTCTCATTAATGCGACGATAGCTCCTTCAAAAGAATTCATGCAAGGCGAGTTTGCTCAAGCTTTGCAAGAGAATGCCATGTGCGCGCTTGCAAACATCTCCGGTGGTTTGTCGTTTGTCATAGCTAGTCTTGGTCAAAGCCTTGAATCCTGTGGCTCTCCTGCACAAGTAGCGGATACATTAGGAGCACTGGCGTCTGCCCTGATGATATACGACATCAAAGCAGAAAATACGAGAGCATCAGATCCGATGGAGGTGGAGAAGACATTGGTGCAGCAGTTCAAACTTAAGGTACCGTTTTTGGTGCAAGAGCGTACGATAGAAGCTCTTGCCAGTTTGTATGGCAATGCAGTACTGGCAAGCAAACTAGCGAATTCTGATGCAAAAAGACTGCTTGTTGGTTTGATTACGATGGCGGTTAATGAAGTTCAAGAGGAGTTGATAAGATCCCTTCTCGTTCTCTGCAACAATGAAGGTAGTTTGTGGCAAGCGCTTCAGGGCCGTGAAGGGATTCAACTTTTGATATCTCTTCTTGGTCTTTCGTCGGAGCAGCAGCAGGAGTGTGCAGTTTCATTACTTTGCCTTCTATCCCATGAAAACGATGAAAGTAAATGGGCTATTACGGCTGCTGGTGGCATTCCCCCGCTTGTTCAAATTCTAGAAACGGGATCTGCAAAAGCTAAAGAAGATTCCGCAACAATCCTTGGAAACCTCTGCAACCACAGTGAGGATATACGTGCCTGTGTTGAAAGCGCCGATGCTGTTCCAGCTTTACTTTGGCTGCTAAAGAATGGAAGTTCCAATGGAAAAGAGATTGCTGCCAAGACATTAAATCATTTGATTCACAAGTCAGATACAGCAACAATCAGCCAACTCACTGCGTTATTGACGAGTGACCTCCCGGAATCTAAAATTTATGTCTTGGACGCATTAAAAAGTTTGCTCTCTGTGGCTGCTTTAAATGATATGGTGCATGAAGGCAGCGCAGCAAATGATGCCATCGAGACAATGATAAAAATCTTAAGCTCGACGAAAGAAGAGACTCAGGCGAAGTCTGCCCGAGCGCTGGCTGGAATTTTTGAAATCAGGAAGGACTTGCGTGAAACTAACATTGCTGTCAAGACCCTTTGGTCTCTCATGAAACTTTTAAATGTTGAATCTGAAAGCATCTTAGTGGAAGCTTCCCATTGCCTTGCAGCGATCTTTCTCTCTATTAAAGAGAACCATGACGTGGCAGAGGTTGCTCGAGATGCATTGCCTTTGTTGGTGGTCCTTGCTAACTCTTCAAAATTGCAAGTCGCTGAGGAAGCAGTTTGTGCTTTGGCAAATCTCCTTTTAGACGGTGAGGCTTCAGCGAAAGCTGTATCAGAAGAAATTATTTGTCCTGCAACTAGAGTTCTGCGTGAAGGCACAAACGTCGGAAAGATCCATGCATCAGCTGCAATTGCTCGGCTGCTCGGTTCTCGTCAGATTGATTCTACTCTAACTGACTGTTTAAATTGTACCGGCACAGTGCTTGCTTTAGTTTCTTTCCTGGAAGGTGCCGACAGTAGATCTGTTGCTACATCAGAGGCTCTAGATGCACTCGCTTTCCTATCGAGGCCTGTCCCAGATATCGGGCAGATGCAACCTGCTTGGGTAGTTCTTGCCGACAACCCTAGTAGCATTGCCCCGATTGTTTCGTGTATTGCTGATGCGACGCCACTATTACAGGATAAGGCCATAGAAATTTTATCTCGGTTGTGCAAGGCTCAGGCCCTAGTTCTTGGGAACACAATTGCCTGTGCCACTGGATGTATTTCATCCATTGCAAGAAGGGTAATCAGTTCCTCAAATGCAAGGGTTCAAATTGGAGGAGCAGCACTTCTCGTTTGCGGTGCAAAAGTGAATCATCAAAGAGTAGTTGAAGAATTATACGAATCCAATTTGCGCGCTTCACTCGTCCATTCTCTTGTTCGGATGCTAAGTTCTACAGAGTCTTCTCAAGCTGGAGATCAGGGCAACGATTGACATCATAAGCATCTCCAGGATAACTGATGAAACAAGTAACGGGGACTCAGAGAAAAGTACATCAGTTATTTGTGGTTTCAATATAGCCATATGGCTTCTTTCTACACTTGCTAGCCATGACGACAAAACTAAACTCGAGATAATGGAGGCTGGTGCAATTGAAGTTCTCACTGAGAAAATTTCTCAATCCTTTTCGCAGTATGCACAGGTATTCAGTTTAGTCCTTTATTTTTCACACTTGACCATTGTGTATCTACTTACTAAGAAGCTCTCGATTTTGTGAAAACCAGTTTTCGTATGAATTTTTATCTTGTTCTCGTATTCATTCACGATGCAATTCTGAATGCTGGTTTAAAAAAAAATCTGGTATATTTTTTTATTAATTTTGCTGATAATTTTGCAGACTGATTATAAGGAGGATGGCAGTATATGGATTTGTGCATTATTGTTAGCAGTATTGTTTCAAGATAGAGAGATCATTCGTGCAAATGCAACTATGAAATCAATTCCGGTGCTTGCTAATCTGTTGAGGACAGAGGACGCGTCAAACAGATATTTTGCCGCCCAAGCCGTGGCCAGTTTGGTCTGTAACGGTAGCAGGGGAACCCTTCTGTCTGCTGCAAATTCAGGGGCACCAACAGGACTCATTTCCTTGCTCGGATGCGCCGATGACGATATAAACGACCTTCTTGAATTGTCAGAGGAGTTTGCTTTGGTTCGCTATCCTGACCAAGTTGCTCTCGAGAGATTCTTTAGGGTCGATGACATCAGAGCTGGTGCAACTTCTAGGAAAGCGATACCAGCGCTCGTTGATTTGCTTAAACCTATTCCGGATCGCCCAGGGGCACCTTTTCTTTCTCTGGGACTTCTAATCCAGCTTGCTAACGATTGTCCTTCTAATCAAACTGTTATGGTAGAGTCGGGGGCATTGGAAGGGTTGACCAAATATCTATCCCTGAGCCCACAAGATGCATTCGAGAAAGCTGCTACCGATTTACTCGGCATTCTGTTCAGCACAGCTGAGATAAGGAGACACGAATCTGCGTTTGGTGCTGTTAGTCAACTTGTAGCAGTTCTGCGTTTGGGTGGAAGAGCAGCAAGATACAGTGCTGCTAAAGCCCTGGAAAATTTGTTTTCTGCTGACCATGTAAGGAACGCCGAATCTTCCAGGCAAGCTGTTCAACCGTTGGTCGAGATTCTGAATACGGGGATGGAGAAAGAGCAGCATGCTGCTATTGCTGCTTTGGTTAGGCTGCTGAGTGAGAATCCCTCAAGAGCTCTCGCGGTTGCGGATGTTGAGATGAATGCTGTTGATGTGCTGTGCAGGATTCTTTCGTCGAATTACTCAATGGAACTGAAGGGTGATGCCGCCGAATTGTGCTGCGTACTCTTTGGCAACACGAGAATACGATCTACTGTAGCAGCAGCCCGCTGTGTGGAGCCCTTAGTTTCTCTCCTTGTTACCGAATACGGCCCAGCTCACCAGTCAGTTGTTCGCGCATTGGATAAGCTTCTAGACGATGAACAGCTGGCAGAGCTTGTTGCTGCACATGGTGCCGTGATCCCTCTTGTGGGCCTTCTCTACGGTCGGAATTATTTGCTCCATGAGGCTATATCTAGAGCTCTTGTTAAGTTGGGAAAAGACAGGCCTGCTTGTAAGATGGAAATGGTGAAAGCTGGAGTAGTTGAGAGCGTGCTCGATATACTCCACGAAGCTCCAGATTTTCTCTCTGCGGCATTTGCCGAATTGCTCAGGATACTCACGAATAACGCGACCATTGCAAAAGGTGCATCGGCAGCGAAGGTGGTCGAGCCTTTCTTCATGTTGCTGACGAGGTTAGAATTCGGACCCGACGGACAGCACAGCGCATTGCAGGTTCTCGTGAACATTCTAGAGCACCCGCAGTGCCGTGCCGATTATACTCTCCCATCTCAACAATGTATGGAGCCTCTCCTACCTTTACTCGACTCCCCTGCTTCGGCAGTGCAGCAATTAGCTGCCGAGCTTTTGTCCCACCTGCTATTGGAGGATCATCTTCAGACGGACCCTTTAACACAGCAGGTGATTGGTCCACTCGTACGCATTCTTGGTTCCGGCATTCCTATTTTGCAGTACAGAGCTGTGAGGGCACTCGTAAGTGTGGCAGCGACATGGCCAAACGAAATTGCAAAGGAGGGTGGTGTGAGTGAGCTATCCAAAGTCATACTTCAATCCGATCCTTTGCTCCCAAATGCCCTGTGGGAGTCTGCTGCTTCTGTGTTATCAAGTATTCTGCAGTTTAGTTCTGAATTCTATTTGGAAGTACCTGTAGCAGTTTTGGTGAGGCTGCTTCACTCGGGCTCAGAGAGCACAGTAGTTGGTGCACTAAATGCTCTTCTAGTGTTGGAGAGTGACGACTCGACCAGTGCCGAAGCAATGGCTGAAAGTGGTGCAATCGAGGCGCTTTTGGATATTCTTAGGGGCCATCAGTGTGAGGAAACCGCCGCACGATTACTCGAGGTTTTGCTGAACAATGTTAAGATCAGGGATTCGAAAGTTACAAAATCAGCGATTGTACCCTTGTCACAGTACCTTTTGGATCCCCAAACACAAGGCCAACAGGCGAGGTTACTAGCAACTCTCGCTCTTGGTGACCTCTTTCAGAACGAGGCTCTTGCTCGAACCGCTGACGCTGTGTCGGCATGCCGAGCGCTGGTGAATCTTCTAGAGGATCAGCCTACGGAAGAGATGAAAGTCGTGGCTATATGTGCCCTGCAGAATCTTGTAATGTACAGCAGGTCTAATAAAAGGGCAGTTGCAGAAGCTGGTGGTGTTCAGGTGGTGCTCGATCTGATCGGGTCGGGTGACCCCGAGACATCTGTACAGGCGGCGATGTTTATCAAACTTCTTTTTTCGAACGGTACCATACAAGAATATGCTTCAAGTGAAACTGTCAGAGCTATAACAGGTAAAAAAATCTTTATTTTTAATTTTATCTCTTTTGTTGTATCCAAACGCAACCTTAGATTACTTTGTCGTATCTCTTTTTGTCTTTTATCGTTCCGATGATGAGAACATTTGCATGACGACATGCTGTATAATATGCTTCTCCAAGCATTATTGGGTCATTCTGCTGATATTTTAGATTGCATGTGTGACAAATGGCCTCGTCAATATATTTGTCTCTATCACTATATCTGAATTAGTCGGTCAACATTTGACCATGTTCTGCAATATTTTACTTGCAACTCATCATTTGCTTAATCTTCCCACACGCTGTTTGTGATGATTTAATATTTAAATTATCGATTCTCTTGTAGCTGCAATTGAAAAAGACTTGTGGGCAAGTGGCACCGTAAACGAGGAGTATTTGAAGGCCCTCAACTCGCTGTTTGGCAATTTCCCACGTCTACGAGCCACCGAGCCCTCAACACTAAGTATACCACATTTAGTGACCTCTCTCAAGACTGGATCAGAGGCTACACAAGAAGCTGCATTGGATGCGCTTTTTCTTCTCAGGCAGGCATGGTCTGCATGTCCGGCCGAAGTTTCTCGAGCACAATCGATCGCCGCTGCCGATGCGATTCCACTGTTGCAATATTTGATCCAATCGGGCCCACCTCGATTTCAGGAGAAGGCGGAATTTCTGCTGCAGTGTTTGCCCGGAACTCTTGTCGTGACGATCAAGAAAGGGAGCAATATGAGGCAATCCGTTGGGAACGCAAGTGTTTATTGCAAACTCACCCTTGGAAATACTCCTCCACGGCAAACTAAGGTCTAAAAGTCGTAAAAAAAAATTCTTCACTCGGTTTCTTTTTAATGGTGTTATCTATGATTGTTTGTATTGTTAACCTACGACTTATATATTAGTAAATTGACCGTTTGAAAACGTTATTGCTTTTCTTCAGGTTGTATCAACTGGTCCCAATCCAGACTGGGAGGAGAGCTTTTCGTGGTCATTTGAAAGTCCTCCGAAGGGGCAGAAACTTCACATTTCATGCAAAAATAAAAGCAAAATGGGCAAGGTAGTATATACTTGAAACCCGATTTTTTTTTTTTTTTTTTTATATTGTTTTTTTTAATTTGGGTATTTTAATCGCGTTGCTAAAATACAAATTTTCTTGATGTATGCATGCAGAGCTCGTTTGGGAAGGTGACAATACAAATCGATCGTGTGGTGATGTTAGGTGCAGTTGCTGGGGAGTATACATTACTTCCCGAAAGCAAAAGTGGACCTTCGAGGAATCTGGAAATAGAGTTTCAGTGGTCTAACAAGGAGATATCCTGCTAAAAGGTTTTCGAAACTCTTAAGCGCGAATACGCTATTTTTTACAGATTTTTCTTTTTAATCAAATATTTTTTTCTTATATATAATTCTTGATTTTGTGTTGAGATGTATATAGTTTTGGGCAATCTGTTGTAATTTGAGGTTTCATTATTCTTTTTTTTTTTTTTTTTTTTTGAGAAATATTTGGACTGAACAAAATGATGGGTTTAGCTTCCTTGTAGTTGTGTTGTAATCACATTTGTATTATTCAGAATAATTAATCATGGTTTTGAGCATATATATTATTACATATTTCGTGTGGTTTGTAATATATAAATAAATAAATATCTTACATAATTAATTATTACATAATTAATTATCGAAAGATCTTTGCTTTGGTGCGTGCGTTTGCGTTTTGTTTTGTTTTTCCGATCTAGGAACGGAGTTAGGGTTATTAGTCCGCTCATTTTTGTTTTATACTCTGAATTTATTTGTTCATACGGTAATACCGTACCGGAATTTCGTATCATTTACCGAACCGAACTATTCGGTTCGGTACTGGTAAAATCGAAACAAAATATCAATCTAATAAGTATTTTATAATATTTGTAAGAACTTAAATTATTTAAATTAAAAGAAAAGAATAATGTATATTAAATATTTTGGTATGATAATTATGATATGGTATGTGGGGGCCGGAATTCAAAAAAAATAAAAAAATACCGAATACGGAATCTAATTTTCGGTTGGGTACGATTGTATATTGTATCGAATACTGGAATTCAACGGAATCTAATTTTCGGTTCGATATTTGCGAATTTTCGGTTAGGTCAGTTTACGGACAACCCTAAAACTAGCCCTACTAATAATAATGTCGACTTTTCTCTCAAGCCGTCTACTATATATTTCATTAATCCGCTTCTCTTGTTATTTTTCAATTTCGATTTGGGTTTCGGGTTTCGGGTTAATAATTGAACGAGGTAAATTCCAGAGATCCTTTGTTATTAATTATCCTTACATGATTTATTTAGGGTTTTCTTGTGATTTTTGAATGTGAATTTCCCCTAATGAAAGATCTCTGTCTGCTGTTTGTGTGTTGTTTTTCACGTTCAATTTTGTTTTTTATAATCTGAATTTTATTTGGTTTTGTTTTTCCGGCCTAGGAACGAAATTAGGGTTTCTGTTTTCATAGTCTGATTTTGTTTGCTCTTGCTTTCGAATTTGGTGCTGTTCAAGGCCCGAATTAGGGTTTTATCTTTCTTCTTTCTCTATAGATAGATAATTGAATGGTTGAAGATAAATTGGTGTGTTACAACATATTATTAATAATATTGTTGTTTAATGTAATCTCTAAATTTGTTTGGTCTTGTTGGAACGAAACGAAGATGGGAAAATCGGACGAAGTGTACATTTCATCATCACAAGAGTTACTCAAGGATTTCCGAGAAGCAATGGTTGAAGTGAGAAAGATGTTGGGATACTACGTCGACCTTTCGTCTGTGGAGAAATACCTACCCCCACCACCCTCTGCCTCGTGGGTTTTTTCATCTATACCACCTCGTACGGATCTAAAACCCGATGATGGTGATCTTGATGATGCTGACTATGCTGATGACGATGATGGTTATGACGATGGTTATTGGGAGGAGATAAACAAGAAAATTGAAGAGGTAAAAGCTGAAACAAACAAGCTGATGGAAGAGATGGTGCAAACAGAGGTATTGATGGCGTTCTTGGGGCGAACAGACGCACCATGGCGGCACTATCGTTGGGAGATGAATTCCATAATGGATGGGTACCACGACAAACTAATCAAGGCTTTGTCAATTTATAACGAGAAAATGGGTCTGCCACCTTATGAACCCCGACCACCTGGTGATGATGGTCGCGATGATGGTGTTCCGCTCTTGTTCAAGATTTTTCTAAAGATGGAACAAAAGCGGCAGGAGCTGCTGCAGGAGGAGGAGCTGCAGAAATAGCTTCCATGTTCTTGATTTTAGCTATCTACTTCCGATCACTCCGTTTTAATTTCTCCGTCTTAAATTAATAATAGTATGTTGGGTCGTTGGTGCCCCTAGTTAGTTAGTGGTATATCGCGTTTTCTTTTATTTATTTATGATTGATCGGATCGAATCTATTTGGAGTTTGGCAATATTTTTCTAAGTCGAGTGTCGAATGAAAATTTCATGAATTGATATCCTTTAGTTTTGAATTTTTAGTTCATCTAAACTTGAAAAAATCAAATTTAGGCACCGATACTTGATTCAAGATGGATGCATGCATCACTTAAAGTTTGTACGTAGAAGCTCGACTCATCAAAATAATGGACCAAGTTTGCCGAAAAGTACCTTAACGTATTAACCTCGATTCAGACCCGACTGGAAAAAAGATAAAATATATATATATATATGTACAAAGTCAAGCTACTCGAGCTCAATTCATGTTCAACTTAGTTAAATCTTGTTCGAGTCAAACAATTTTGAGCTATCATGTTCAACTTGATTTACCCCCAATTAATAAAAAAAAAATAAAAAAAAAAATAAAAAAATAAAAAATAAAAAACTAGTCCAAAAGGGGCCAAACATAGCAAAATTATGGGTTCATTGTCATATTATTATTTTTTTCTTTTTTCATCAATATATTAGTTTTTAGAAAATTAGAGTTTTTGCCCCTCAAGTTTGTACCAATTTCATATTTGGTCATCCATGTTAATAGAAAAACACCTTTTATCCCTCATGTTTTAATAATTTAACATTTTTGGTCATTTATATTAAGGCGGCGGTTATATACAAGCCCATTTTTTTATTAGTTCAAATCCATATAAAAAAGTTTATTAGTTCAAGCCCGTAAATTAATCTATTTTTATTACATCAAGACCAAATATGACAAATATACCATTGTCCACAAATAATACTCAAATACAAATAAATCCTATTTTTAATTTGTTCAAGATCAAAAAAAAAAAAAAAAATATATATCACGACTGCCGCCGACAGACCGCCACGACGCCGACCAGCGAGACTTCCACCCCACCGACGATGACCAGCGACCCACCGACCGCACCATTACCACCACCGCACCACCACCAACAAGTAAGTCCTTTTTACTAAAATTTTGTTTGTAAATTCGAAAACATTAACCGAGCATCGATGTCCTTTTTACTAAACTTTTATTTGTAAATTCGAAAACATTAATCGAGCATCGATTCTTGATAAATATGTGTGAATGAACATTAATCTATGCTTATTTCTTGTTGGATTGCAATGCTTTGGCCGATTTTGGAAAAAAATTGAGATTGAAATTGGTTTTTTTTTTTTGTTTTCGTTGGTTTCCCAAATCGGTTTACACGGACCGATTTTGTACACGAAAATCGGCGTCATAATGCCGATTTTTGTTAACCAAATCGGCGACATAACGTCGAATTTACAAGTCAAAATCGGCGTTCTAATGTCGATTATTGAGTACAAAATCGGTTTTCGGATACCGATATTTTTCGGATTTTTTTTTTATATAATACATTATATATTTGGTTAATTGATATTTTTTAAATATTTGAAACAAAAATGTTTATCACCATTCGGTGGCGTCTACCAACTCCTTTAACCCAATCGAGTTGAGCTTTCCTTGTCTCAAATATTTATTTGTTAGATAATTCATTTGAATAATCCTCCATCAATCCCCTAGATTGCTGCACGAAAGTATGAGAAAACGGTCTTAAAAAAACACAGATAATAAAATCGGTACTTAAAACCCGATTTTTGTAGTATAAATCGGCATGACAATACCGATAATACAAAAACAAATTGGTGTTGTCATGCCGATTTTTACTACAAAAATCGGTTTTTAAGTATCGATTTTTATTAAAATAATCGGAATGTGGTTACCAAAAATCGGTATTTGCAGACCAATTTTTGGTATCGTCTAATTTTTTTCCCAACAAAAAAAAAAACGACCCAAAAGCAAAAATAAACGGTTAAAACATACTTCATTGTGTTCTCCACCCTCGTAAACCACCATATCATTGTTTTCTGGTTTCATCGTGAATGTTTGGTATGTATTTGATAATTTTGGTGTGTAGGATTTCTTGGTGGGTTTGTGAAGAAGAAGGAGAAGAAGGAGGAGATTTTAAGTCGTGAAATAAAGAAGAGATGTTTCTGGATTAATGTATTTTATTTGGTCTTGCACAAATCAAATGATTTTTTTTATTTTTTAATGTTTTGTATTTTTTATTTGATTTTAAATTCATTAAGGGTAAATTAGTATTTTTATATTGGAGGTCTTGAACTAATAAAAAAATGGGCTTGTATATAACCGCCGCCTTATATTAATTTACCGTTAGTTTTAACGAGAATTGACGGAAAGGACTAAAAGTGTTGGATTTTTGAAACATGAGTGACAAAATGTATTTTCTGTGAACATGAGAGGTCAAATATGAAATCAATATAAACTTGAGGCACAAAAACTTTAATTCAATTTGACTCTCTCCATCACTTACCTTAAAACGACGCCGTGGAAGACATCCCGCCGAAACGACGCCGTGGAAGACATCCCCGCCGAGCAACAGAAGTACAGAACAGTAAACAACCACAGTGACCAAATCAAAACCCTAAAAAATTTCTTCGGCGGAAAATCGACAATCGACAAGCGAAGCTATTCAATTCAATTCAATTCCCAGAAATTCCGCCGCCCTGAATTGGAATAAGCAACGGGTAATTTCTATCTTTTCGGGTATATTTCTCTTTTTGTTAGGTAGTAGGTGTGAAGATAAACGAAAATGGTGAGATTTGGCATAGGTAATGGCGGGAATTTGTTTTAATTTACCGAAGCAATGGATGCATTCATCTTCTTCGATGAAATGTCTCAGTTATTTATTTATTTATTTATTTTTTTTTTTTGTGGAGACAGAGAGTTAAATATTTCGTATTTTAAAAATTGTTTAATTGAATTTTTTAGGTGCTAGTTTGCTAATAAAAATTGAATTGAATCATGTTGCTAATATTTACAACACACATGGAGTTTTTTCAGCAGAATTAACTCTGGTCTATTAGCATGGCTGCAAGAAAGATCTTTGCTTTGGTGTGTGTGTTTGCGTTTTGTTTTGTTTTTCCGATCTAGGCACGGAGTTAGGGTTATCAGTTCGCTCATTTTTGTTTTATACTCTGAATTTATTTGTTCATACGGTAAAACCGTAACGGATTTCGTATCGTTTACCGAACCGCATTATTCAGTTCGGTACGGTACGGTACGGTTCGGTACCGGTAAAACAGCAACAAAATAATTATTCATAGAGTGTGACGCCCCGCTATTTCATAAGTATATTATATGAAATTATATTGAGTAAATTGATAATTTCCATTTCATGAATTAATTAGAAACTTTTACGTACCCTAAATGATTACGTGATTTTTTATGTTATGTCTATATTAGAGCAATGTGCTATCGACTCGATTAGATTAGATGATTAAGTAATTTATTTATGTAATTAAATGAATTATGTGCTTTAAATGAATAATTAATCTATGCTAATAATGATATTAAAATTTTGGTTATATTGATTTGTCTCTCATGTACATGCTTAATTATAATTTAAATGATCTCATAAGAATTATGATATGATAATTAATCTATGCAAAATGTATCTTTAATTGTTTTCCCAACTTCCCTATGGCATCGCTTCACTTCACTCTTCTTCCTCTCACCTCACACAGCCAATACACACAAGCAGAATCCCCCCTTCTCTTTACACTATCGGCGGCCTCCCCCAAATTTCCCCTTTCACATCAAATTAATGGGATTAATTTCCCTATAAAATCCCCCAAACTATCAAGAGGATCGTGCCCTCGGTAAACCTCCACGTTCAGCCCCAAAAGCCTTCAAGCCAAAGCTCCGAGAATCCTTCGGTTTACTCTTCCTCTTTGTCTTCGATTTTCTTCAAAGAGGTAAGGACTTTTGGTCTTTACTGAATTGATGATAAATAATAAGATGATGTTTATGTGTTTAATTGATTTATATATTTAGGAATCGGATTTAGGGATCTAGGTCAAGAAATATATAGATTTCAATGAACCCTAGTTCGAATTTCGGATTCGTAGCCTCAGCTTCCAGTGCATGTTTCATTGATGATTTATTTTATGAAAATTATGAAATTAATTGTGCATGTAGATGTTTCTGTTAGCTTCGTTTTGATATATGGTATGCGTAAATCGGAATTATATTGATCAAGTTATGAACCGTTTTCCGAAACTGCACGATTTCCGAGTCATCTATGAATTATGTGTTAAATTAGATTCTATATTAGCCTGATTCATGGGATTCTAACTACATATGATTATAGACTTATAAAACTGATCCTCAGCAAAATTTCATGGTCTTTCGTTGAAAGAATGATTTATTTGGTATGTTTGAGTTGAATGCCCTGTTCTGAAATTCTTCTGGTCGTACTGTACTAAGTTCATTATTTCTCTTCCTTGAATGAGTATTTTACGGAACTGTTTTAATATGATATAATTCACATATATATGAACGTTGTGTGAAAATTTCATAAGGTTTGTATGTACGGGTTAAGATATATGAATATTCAAAGTTGAAGTACCAAAGCTGCCAGATTTTCTAAAATATAGTACTATGACTGAAAAGAGTTTTTAGGACGTTATTTAGAGGACATAGTTCTATTTAAGGATACCTCTCGATTGATTTAGGACTTATAAGGGTATAGGTTCGTTTAAGTAATTTGAAGTTCATTATTAAGGTTTAATTGTAAATTGCTTTGGAATCTTGATGTGATTAGATTGCAAAGCTGATACGATTTCTTTGGAATGGAGTATGTGGATTTGAATTTCTTGCATTATGTGTGTATGTGCTATTATGGTTATCGTATGCTTATACGTTAACATAAATGTATAACCTAGAAAACGCATGAATGATGCATTTAAGATAATCCCCTTCTCTTGTATGTGATACGTGTAAGTTGAATGATATTTGTGATGACACGATGTCGATGAATTATGAAAATGTTGTATTTATGTGTTCAGTGATTATGTGAGTTATTTGAATAAGAAACTCTAAGGAAAAAGAAAATGGTTTGAAAGTGTTTGTTAGTTATGTGGTTATGTGTTTATTATGATAAGTGCAAGTTCGATCTAATATGGTCTTATTATTGGAGTCGAATGATTTGTCATTTATGGTATTGCACGGTCAGTATAGGAAAATCAGAATCTTAACAGGGCTATCGGTCGAGTAGACACGGAAATACGGAGGGGCCGTTATTCCAACTACGGTACTATAGACTATAAAGTGGGTAGCTCTCACTAAAAACGGGCTCAGAATATCGACGTCTATTACCGATAACCATGGTATGAATCTGATAGGGATCCGTCACATTGCATCTATGTGTGTTTAAATGTATTAATACAGACTATAGGGACTTTATGTCTATATGTGCTACAAGCTATTGGGTCGTTGCATCCACATGTTAATACAACATTTTGTTTTCGTGAGTAAACCTTGTGAGTATATGTTAAGCAAGGAAACTCTCTGTCCATATCGAGGTTGAGGTAAACGTTATTATCGTTGATTTTATGAGTTCGAACTACGTGATTAAATTATGTTGTTTACTTGATTATCTCTAATTTGAGGTACGAGACTTTAGAAATTTACTATGTGGATTTTTATGTGTTCAATGTTTCGAATTTCTTGAATTATCTCATGCTATGTTATGTATCATTGAACGAAAGGTTATGACTTGAGTATTTGTTTGATGCTATTGAATGTTTGAATGGTGTAGTAATTTTAAATCTATGAATTTGTTATTGAATGACTGAGAACTCTTTTAACAATATAAAATATGGGGAGAATGGTTTTAATTATGAAGTTTAAGGGCTCGAATGTTTTGATTCTGGAATTACCAAATTAGGAACTTGTTCGATGAAATGTCTCAAGTCAATTTTTTTTTTTTTTTGGTAATTGTGGAGACAGAGAGTAAATATTTCGTATTTTAAAAATTGTTTAATTGATTTTTTTTTTTTTTTTTTCAGAATTTTCTTGAATTTTATCCAAGATTTTTCGATTTACTGCAATAACATAATCCATAAAGTAGACAGAATCATCAAATGGGCATGGATGACATCGACATCGAACTCGACGAAATGGAACTAATCGCAGCAGCAGCAGGTTACCACTACTACACCAGCATCACAAGGCAACCCTCTCGATGCATCTCGCCCATCGGATCGGGTTTCATGAACGAGGTAATCAACGGCCAGGATGATTTCTGTAGGGAAATGCTGAGGATGGACAAACACGTCTTCCACAAGCTGAGCGACACTCTCCGGCAGAGAGGGGCGCTCCGCGACACGCCAGGTGTCGTGATAGAGGAACAGCTGGCAATCTTCTTGAACATTGTGGGCCACAACGAACGTAATAGAGTGATACAGGAGAGGTTTCGCCACTCTGGCGAAACGATAAGTAGGCATTTCAATAACGTGTTGAAGGCGATTAAGTCTCTCTCCCGCGAGTTTCTTATGCCCCCGCCCGCGAATACTCCGTTGGAGATTCTTAAAAGTAATAGATTCTACCCCTACTTGGAGGTAAAATGTTTACGGCTTTGTAATTAATCTATTTTACGAAGAATGGGTCCGACACGAATTATGTGCTTGTTCTTTTAAGTCTATATATAATATTGATATAGATTCTCTCTTCAGGATTGTATTGGAGTGATCGACGGAATGCATATCCCTGCAAATGTTCCTGCAAAAGATCAATCTCGATTTCGCAACAGAAATGGAGTTTTGTCGCAAAATGTATTAGTAGCATGCACATTCGATCTCCACTTCATATTTGTCTATCCTGGTTGGGAAGGTTCCGCTGCAGATTCCCGTGTCTTGAGAGCCGTTCTCAACGACCCCGATCAAAACTTCCCTCAAGTTCCACAAGGTGCTTATTGCAATTAGCACCCTTGTGTTTATTTTAATTGTCAAAAAGTCACTATCAATCAATTTTATTGGCAAACTACCTCCTAAAAATGCACCATTTAGGGGGTTCTGTGCTAAAAAAAAGAGGTTTTTTTCCTGATATTTATAACACGAGGAGTTGTTTAGCAAATCGGTATACCACAGGGTAGAATGCAATTTAGGGGGTTGTTTGCTAATAAAAAAAGGGGTTTTGTTTAGCAATTTGGTACAACAAGGGGTTACTGAATGCAATTTAAGGGTTGTTTGCTAATAAAATGGGGTTTTTTTTGCTGATATTTGTAACATGACGAGTGTTTTTTGCAATTCGGTATAATACAAGTGGTACTGAATGCAATAAACTCATATATATAAACCACCTTTCTGTATGACAGGTAAATATTACCTCGTTGATATGGGCTACGACAACATGGAAGGATTCATGGCGCCGTACGAAGGAGTGAGGTACCACATGCACGAATATCGAGGCGCGAACCTCTTACCTAGAAACGCAAAGGAGCTATTCAATCACCGCCACTCGTATTTAAGCAACGCGATTCGAAGGTCTTTTAGTGTTCTAAAGGAAAGATTCCCGATTCTCAAACTTGCGCCTCAATATGCTTTCCACACACAACGGGATATTGTGATAGCCGCGTGCGTGATACACAATCACATCCGGAGAGAGGAGAGAAACGATTGGCTGTTTAATAGCGTCGAGGAAGATGGTGGGGCCCGCGAGGAATCTTGTGGTTTCGACGAACCGTTTGATTCTCAATCGGCTTTTTCGATTAATGAAGAAATGGCGTCTTCTAGAAGAGATGGTATTGCATCTGCTATGTGGAACGATTTTATGAATAAGTGGGACGAGTGGTGATTCTTGATTTTGAAATTACTAAATTAAGAATGTCCGGTTTTTTTAGGATGTTCCGTTTTTTGTCCGAATCTTTTTCTTTTTTCGTTCGTGCCATTGCCAGCTACATTATAGTGTATTATAATTCAAAATTAATTTCGAGAAAAAAATATGGTTACGGGTAAGAAGAAAAAAAAAAAAAAAAGGTCTATCTTTTATACTAAATTTTCGAAAAAATAGTAATAATGAGATGCTTAGAATTCTTCTATACAATTTTTGTCGAAAAAAAATAGCAAGCTCTTCTTCATTTCCTGTTTCCACTGTAGACTTCGACAAACTTGATATCATATACAAGCGTTGCGTTTCCAGGTATGTTACAGTCCCCTGTTATGAACAATGCAAATATATTTACTCCGCCGAGAACTACGAGAATCAGAAAATACTATTTTACCCTCAACCGAATATCGTAATAATAACTCTCAACATTTTCACCTGAAAAACAGCCTGCTGGTTCAGGTCCATATGCCAGATTTGGAGGGATTTGCAGCTTCCTCTTTCCACCTGATTAAACAAAAAACGAAAACGAAACCTAAATCGGATTTTCGTCAATTTTATTTTTTCAAATAGTCAAAAGAATAATGGGTTCGAAAATTATTTGAACACAATATGTTATGACTGCATAAATGTATCATCTTATTACCAACTTGCATCGGCGGTACACCTCCACCACCCAAGATCCCTTGATCCAATCCCTTAATCACCTGGTATTACAAACATTCTTAATCAACAAAACGAATGAGTGCAGATAAAACGACATAAAAAATCGGCGATTTATTGTATTTAGCAACCCTGTGTTTTTACTTTAATTGTCAAACAACTCCGTGTTTTATAAATATTAGCAAAATCCACCCCATTATTCAATTTTACTAGCAACCTACCTCCTAAAATTAAATGCATCATAGGTTTTTTTTTTTTTCTTGCTAATATTTATAACACGAGAAGTTGGATATAATACAAAGGTACTAAATGCAATGAACTCTAAAAATCGGCAAATTGTCGTTTCTTTTGACGAATGAAAATAATACAAGATCAAGAAAGAGCAAAATTTTACCTTGCCCATGCCGAGGCGCATAGTAAGTGATCTACCGCGTTTATAAGTACTGTCGAATACTATCCCGTCTGCAAATCTTGCAGTGTAATGTACCTACATTAAGAAGCCGATTACACGGACGTAAAATGATCGAAAAACTATGATATATATATTCCACTGTACGAAATAAAATTCCGGCTCTGCCACTGAACTAAGGTATCGGTGTTTTCTACCACTAGGGGTATATATGTAAAAGAGTCAAGACGAGCTAGACGGATGGTTGTTCAATCTTGTTTAAATGTTTATCGAGCTTTAAAAGTTGAGTCGAGCTCGAATATGCTTTAATCGAGCCGAATACGAATTAAGTTGTTTGATTGATTTTTTTTTATATATAATACATATTATATTATTTTATTTTCTAATTATATTATTATTTTATTCATAATTTAATTATGATATATGAAACTCACATTGATAAGCTGAGCAAAAGGGACCGGCTCGCCAGAGCCAACAATCAAGTCGCAGTAGCCGAGTCCGGACCGCACGAAATTCAGCTCGCATGGCGGGTCGGAAACCGTGGCGTAGTACTGCATCCGGGTGGCGTCGGCCTCCAGTGGTGCGGCGGCGGCCACCGCCGAAGCGGCAAGTAGACCGGCGGCTACGCTCATTATCTGCTTCTTGAAGTTGCCGGCGGCGGCAGGGGGGGGTGAAGCGCTGGCTTTGAAGGTTTGGAGGGCGGCGCGTGGCTTTGGTGCCAGGATGGTTAACTGCGCGGCCGCCGCCATTAACGTTGTTCTTTGTTTGGCTGTTGGGACTGTAAGCTGCGAACTGAAACTTGGAAATGGAAGTTTGTTCTATCTGCAGTTTGTGGGCAATCGGAAGTTATGGGATAAAGGGTATTTTCGGAATTTTGTTTTTGGACCATTGATTTTATTTTTTATTTATTTTATTATATTTATTCCAACTTAATTTCTTTTTAGGGTAAATTACAACCCACCCCTGAGGTATGGTCAAATTACGAAAACTCCCCTCTTGTTTGGATAATTACAACTATCCCATCAACTATGAATCTTCTTACACGTCCATCCCTCTGGTGTCAAATTCAACATAATCTTCTAGATTCAGTGGAATATTTTCTAGTTTGTACTCGTTTTGCGCAAAAACACAGTTTATGATGCACCACAATCTGATATATACATGTTGGAATTATTTCAATAATTATGTGGACTCACATATGTGACGAAATGTGTATGGCTATCTTAAAGAAAGTCCAAAATTAATCGTGATCTAATAAAGGTTATTGGGTTGGACTTATGGGTATTAAACTATAATTATGAGCCTAATGTGTAGAGACAATTAGGGCTTAGTTGTGATTTATTGATGGGGCTGAATCACAATTATAATATAACTGGACTCTACAGTTATATAAAGGGTCGTGGTCCCCAAAGAAACGCAACCATTCCGTCTCTTCTAAAATCCATCGTTAGAGAGATAATTAAGGAATTGCGGATTCTTTGGAAGACATGTCCCAAATCCAGTGGAGATTCGAAGATTCGATTCCATGATGTAAGGTACGCTTCCGTGTTTATGTTTATGTTTAATTCTCGTTGATTCAAGTATGTTGGTTCTTGGGAATTGTATGTATGTACAATAAATTTTCTAACAAGTGGTATCAGAGCCACCATGTATTGAATCATTGGGGATTTAGGTGTTATATGAAATATGATTTTATGGATTTGATTATGTAAATTGTTATCAAAATTTGAATCCATAATTGTGCTATGTAATCCTGAATTCAGATCTAAGAATTTTGGTCAGACATTAAATCTGAAATTAGGGCTAGTATTGAATATGTTTGATTTTTCCTCTACTTATGCGAATCCCAATCTGATATA